ATATCTTGAATCAATTTGTCTTGAAAAATGGTAAGGAAAATTTTGGGATACAATAGGATGGCTAGGATTTTTTTTTGGAAAGGTAATTCAAACTCTGGTGTGCATCTTGTTGGCTAGAATAAAATTACTAAGCTAAAAAAGTTGGGTGATCTTGGGATCCAGAAATCAAGAGAGGCAAATACTTTCATGTTGGGTATGCTAGTTTGGGGTCTCCACCGGGATTGTGATTTCCTATGGGTTAAAGTTTTAAAGCATAAGTACATAAATGAGGAAATATTCTTTAATATGAAAAAGAAACTGGGATCAGTTACTTGAAATGCAATTATGAAACTTTCTCTGCTCTTAAATATAGATTTGAATTTGGATTGGGGGTTTGGAACTCTTCTTTATGGTTTTCCAATTAGTCTGGGGTAGGAAAATTATCGGAACAGGTTCTCTATATGGATATCCATGGTCTGGAAATACGAGTGAATGATGTTCACTTAGATGAGAATTGGAACTTCCATTCATTGTATACTAATATTCCTCCGGTTGTTTGTGACCTCCTGAAAGTGCTTTCCATTTTCTTTAATTCTCCGGTTCCTGATTGGATAACTCGATAATGAAATTTAGATGGTATCTATACTACTCAGGATGGTTATAATTGGCTCAACAAGCTTGAATTTGTTCAGAATAAAAAAGACAATAACTCTTGGAAGTGGGTGTGGCATATTCCTGCTCCTGAGAAGGTAAAATTCTTACTTTGGATGACTTTACATAAGTCCCTTTGCACGAGATCAATGTTTTGTCGTTGTGGTATGCTATAGACGAATCTAAGTCCTAGGTGCAATCAAAATGGTGATATGACTCTACATAGCCTGAGAAACTGTGAATTTTTTACCCGTTTTTGGAAATTTATGGCCTTCTTGGACCCAATATTGTTTCAAGGGGATAGTTTATATGATTGGATTAAACATGGCATTGGTGGTGGCTCTATCTTTTTGGATTCTTGGTGGTGGTTGTGGTGCGCTAGGAATAAACTGTGTATGGCGAATAAAGTGGTATCTTCCTATACTTTGAAACTCATCACAGTGAATTATGCTAATCTGTTAAATAAATGTTTTCTCAAGCATAATTTGTCTCATCCAACGAGAACGATCATGTGGAATGCATATAAAGGTAATAATATATTCTAAATGTTGATGGCAGTAGCCTCGATAATCTCAGAGTCTCGAATTTTGGTGGATTGATTTGAAATTTTGATAGTGTTCTGATTCACGCTTTTGCGAGTAATATTTGATATTGTGAAATTTTTCATGTTAAGCTGATGGCATTTATCATGGTTTGCATATGGCATGGGATCTTGGTATCAAATACATGATATGTTATTCTGACTCTAACTCTGCTATCAAGCTTATCTCAGAGTTTGTTAATGTTTGGTAACACTATGTTGTAATTCTTTAGAATATTAAACAACTTGTCTCTAGGGAATGACGAGTTCAAATATTTCATATTCTTGGGGAGGGAAATGCTTGTGTTGACTATCTAGCAAAATAGAGGTTAATAATATTGTGGTGTACTAGTCTTTTGTGGAACCTCGTGTTTGAATCATCACTCTTCTACTAGCTGATGCTAGTGGAACTTTATTTTCTAGATAATTTCCTACTTTTTTATTTTCATTTTCTCACTTGTACAAAAAAAACATTTTCAAAAAATGTTTAAAATTTAAAATTTTTCCTTCAAACTTTCTTTCATTAAAGATATCTATTCTGCAAGTATTAATATCGGTGATTTTGAAAAAATTCAATAGTGAAGAAATGTTGCTTAGGTTAACCAGAAATTTCAAAAAATCTGAGAAAACCATGAAGTTTTTGGGATTTTAAAAAAATACAGTAGTTTAAATTGCCTTGTTTTTTGTATTTGCAGTGAGGAACAGAGAATCAAACAACACGATTGCTTCTAGGCAGCATGGCAGAGATGCAACAAGATCTCGTACGACAGGAGATGACGTCCAGGACTCGCATATTCGAGTGGGAAGAGTATCCCTAACCGATTCTCACAAGAGGTGGGTGGAGGTTGAGCAGTTTCGTGCACCCTGCAGTATCCAACATAGAGGATGTAAACTTGTTGTTGGATGGACCAGATCCTAATGATGAGCTCGTTGCTGAGAATATCCAAGTGGAAGTTGAGGATGATTAGCAGATGTTGGACGAGACAGAGGTGCTCTATCATTTTGAGATGGATGCTCTGACTGATACAGTAGTTACTCCTCAGTCGGATACTGAGGCATCTGCTACGGGTGATATGGAGGTTACTTTTCCTGCTGCAGGTGATATGGAGGTTGCCCATTCGGTTGATACATATGTTACTACTCAGGCTTCGATAGAGTCGTATGTACACACGGATGGAAGGCTTTGACAGAGTCGTCTGTCTACGGGTGATATGGAGATGATGTTGGACCTTTTCATGTTAGGGGACTTTATAATGACGTGTTAACGCCTCTACATGGTGCGGATGATCAGCGACGTTTACAGATGATAGCATACATTATGGATAACCTACTGGGTTCGATAAGCTTGGATGATGAGATTTATACTTTGGCATCGTAGGCAGTGGCACACTTAACCTGTGGGGGACCTATGTAGACCTTATTCTCATTTTTGTATTATTTGTATATTATGTGTATTATTACACTGACATTTGCATCGTACAGTTTATTAGATAACATTTTGTCACTTCCATTATTGTAGGATGAACATAACTTAACATTTGACAAATAGCATAACACATGACGATTAACATAACTTTAGACAGATGATTACATAACTTTAAAAAACAATAATAAATAACAAAACCTAAACACTACTAGATGATTATGGACGTTTCAACATTTTGATTATTTCGTCGACACATCTAGAAATTGTCGCATCAAACTCGATTAGTCCCTTTGTCAACCTACGGTGATATGTTCTCCACATAACCTTCAAATCTTCATCACTTTTCAACTCAATACGATCATATTTTCCCCTTCCATCAGTATCAATCCATGGTGCAAGAAACTCGATCTTACTCACCTTTCTGTTCTCAATGTCAGACAACATACTAATCAATTCCAATCTAAGAAGAGCGAGACATGTGGTGTCCTTTGGGAAGTCACCTGGTTGAATTAGACACGTGCCATAAATGAATAGTGAGGCATTTTAAGTTGTTCTTTTTAACAACAGTTAATTCCTATTTATGCAAGTTTGGATTCTTTCTGAATCACACACAGTTGTTAGTGCAATCACAGTCATACAAAGCTGTCGGCAAAATCTCAACCCTTGAAATTATACTACTGGATTTTTTATAGCTCCTCTAAAAGACTGATAAATATAAGAGGTTTTCAAAAAAAACTTGTGATTTTACAGTACCGAGTTTTTCAAGGTTTTGTAAAAAATCTGGTACAACATGGTGTTTTTAAACAAAATTAAAAAACTGGTAAGTTTTCCCACACATCGTTTTTTTAAGAACTGATATAAATGCATATCGGACTTTTTACATACACTATCATATTTTTTATTTGTACCGGAAATTTCATTTATTCTACCGGATTTTTTGTTCGCACTTTTTTGCAAATTTTTTGTTTAAGGTAATATTGGTATTATTGAAAATTAGAGGGGTGCCAAGTTAAATTTAGGAGTGGCAGGATAAAATTTCCCTGCGTTTATATCAATTTTGAGTCTGAATCTATAGTTTGTCAATATAGTCTATTTTATCTTTCTTAAATTTATTTAAGGGCATTTCTTAATACATCCTATATAGTGAAAAAGCACTCTATAAAAATTTAAAAATGCCCTTCAGATTCCGACGATGCATCTCCGGACGCACCTTTCTCTTTAGCCAAAACATTAACACTTAGTCACACCCAATATATTTTCCAAAATTTATTTCGGAGACGCATCTCCAGTATAATTCAATATATATATCATTAATCCCTCTCTAAAACACCCATTTTATCATAGATTATTCTAGAGATGCATCTTCGTATTTACACTAGACATAGTTCGGAGATACATCTATGTAACCAGACTAGACAGTACATTTTAAATTTGCTTTGGTGATGCTCAGATGAAATTGACGATATAGTAAAGAAATAATATGGTGAATTAGATCATACAACTGATATGCAGAAAATGGCATATATAAAGTGATAAATCTATAGTACATAACGAACTAGAAATAAATCAAAATAAAATACAACCAAAAAATAAATCCATAATATAAATACTATAAACTAATGCATATGACGGACTCGGACTCGAGACCCCCTGTTCCTACGCTGCCTCTTGTACTGCAGTGTCTCATGTGCCTCTGCCATCATGGCATCTACAACATCCCTTGCCTCAGAGTCATCTGGAAAGAGTCCTCTGTCAATACAGTCTTCTCAATCTCCATGATACATCGACATCTAGGTAGTGCATCAACAGTATGATTTGTCCTAGTCTAATCCTCCTCTAGTATCTCCAAATGAGTTACTTCGGTGGATCTCTTAGATTATCATGTACCGTATAAGAATATGACACCTGAAGAACCATTGAATGTAACCTTCTAAGTAGCTCTAATCGCTCCCAGTTATGTTACTTTATGCCTTATCTGGTATTAGATGATTAAGATAATCATCAAATATAGCATTCATATCTCTACGTGTCATAGCGGGAGGAGCAGAGACATAATGTTCTCTGGAAATGTACTGCATGTATCCGAACTGACGCATGACGCGCTCAGAAAGATGGGGAAACACTAGACGTGAGCCTCAAGCCAACTATATCAAGTATAAAACTATTTTGTCAAAGGGACGTATCGTAGTGATTGGCGTAAGAATGGAAGTGTATATATTTTGCTACTAAGCGGTCAAGATACACTTTGAACGGCTTTATTGCCTAGTTTCCTCTGAGCATGGAGAATGCAGAAGTATGTAGCATATCCTCAGTATAGGTCGGTACACATGACAAGCCGAAGATACGTGGGAAGTGCGAAAGGTTTCAAACCTGAAAAGTGTTGGAACACATGAATCATTAATAATGGCATTGTGAAAGTGATGTGAAAATGACACGCAAACACTAAAAGACCAATAAATATTACCTCCAATAGTGTGATGTTGCATGTCACATGTTTCGTCTTCCACATACATCATTCAGATAACTTAGAGTACAAGTAGACCAAATAATCCCCCTAGTTGTACTCATGGATCCGTTCAAAGTAATCGAAGTATCGTAGATAGATGACATCCACATAAGTGGAACTTTTGTGAACAAAATGGAAGTGCCAACCAAATACAAAAAGTATGCTCTCATAGCATATGTTATATGTTGTGCAACCTGGTCGTCTTCACCAGCAATATGTTGTGCTCTAAGTAGTTCATTTGTATACACCTCCTACAGGAATCGAAACCTAGTATGAGACTTTTGGGTGGCTTTAAACTCCGTCATGGCAGCCTCTGGGTCAACTCCCAGATAGTCTATCATCAACTTCAACGCCTCATTTTTGTTAATCTTCCCACAATCTAAATGTTTCCCTTTAATCAGAAGATGCAGAAAACACGAAACATCATCCAGTGTGATAGACATCTCACCATGTGGTAGGTAAAACGATGATGTCTTTGTGTGCCATCTCTCTACAAATGCATTAAGCATACCATAATTAATTGTATCATAACCAGTCTTGCACAAGTCTCTCATACCAGATAGCTACAAAAAATCCTGAAACCACTGCTCATTAGGTTGTTACAGACATGTATTCTTCCGTCTATAGTTGATGAATTTTAACGGATCACGGTCTTGCAAAAGAATAAATCGTCAAAAACTTTTAATATTAGAACAATCATAATTTAAAAAGAATGAATCCAACTAATTTTACCTCTTCGTCCCAGATATTCCTGACAGTATGGTCTGTGTAAAGAGGCAACATTGACAAGTCTGGCGGGCCTCCACCAAACCCATGTGGTGCCTCTTGAGCCTGGGGTGTCTCAGGTACATTTGCTGCCTCTTGGGTCTGGGGTGTCTCAGGTATCTCCGATGTCTCTTTGGTTTGGGGTGCCTCAGGTACCTCTAGTGTCTGAGATACCATCAATGACTCGGGTACCTCTGTTGCCTCAGGTGCATGAATAGGTGAAACATGTCGCCTACTGAAAGATAGAGGTAGAGATGCATGAGGAGGTGACACACGTCTCCTACGAAAAGAGGAAGGCAGAGATACATGAGTCTCAGAAGCTAATGTATCTACATCAACCGAGCTAGAGGTAACAGGAAACTGTGGTGGTTAACTTTTTCCCTCTGAATAGATGTATGTTGTGCAATCATATTGTGCCTCAAGCGGTCTTGTCTATCAGTCATAATACTTGTAAGTAAATCCCAGAACAAACGTTACACAAGAGTTCATGCAAAAAAAAAGGTAAAAAAATGCAAAGTGATAAACTACGAAGACGCATCTTCAGATTCTAGTAATCAAAATGTTGAAAAATTCTACAGATGCATCTCCAAAATTTTCTACAAAAGGGTGTGTAAAGTAGGGCCCTGAATAGTGCATTGATCAACAAACTATCAATCAAACGCGTTTCTCATTATGTATAAACTATCAAACATGTATAAATTATCTATTTCATAACTTAATCATCAATTTCTACAAATTTATACAATTGAAAAAATATTAGAAAAATAAAAAACTTACAAAATGAGTTTACTTCAGTGTTGAATGAACTCTTTGATGGACTTGATGTTGATCAATGAATCTTTAAAGTTGGTTGAATAATTTTGAGAAAATATGAGTCGAGAGTTTGAGAAAGTTGAATGGTTTAGAGATTTTCTTTTTTTTTAGGAAGTAGACAAAATTCTAGAAATACATCTCCATAATACATACGAAAATATATCTTCATAATATTTTTTTTCATCGACGTCCGAAGATATATCTCCGAAATATAAAGATATTATTGTATTTTCAAAATATATACTAATATTCCATATGATGCATTAAAAAATCCCCTTATTTAATAGGTAAAACAGACTTGAAAGACTATTTCAAGTTAAAAACTTATAAGAACCTATCTTAGTATAGCACCTAGTTCTTTTTCATGAGAAATTTAAGCAAATAATTTTGATTGTCATATATCTTTAACTTTAGATTAAACATGTCTCTCACTTTAATACATAAAAGCATGTTACCATTTTAAAGGTGGTGTTGAACCAACATTTATAAACACATTTAAAATCATATTTCTTCCATTGTGAAGACTCTTAACAATATGTCTTTGTTGTATAAGAATAAACCCCAAAAAAGGCTCATGAGTTGTAACAAAATCCTGTAAATAATAAACAAATTCCATACAAAATGTTGAATACATTCCCAAGGCACCAAGAAAATCAATTCTACAATAAACAACTATATCTTAAGTAACAAGATAACATCATTGCCCCCAAAAATTCATAATAACTCTGAAATCCACCACACAAAAAGTAAAGGTTTTCAATATCCTTTGGATGGCTAAATGGTGCACAATGTATACCAATCACCCCAATCTGATCAATCAATCCATTCATTTTTGTATGCTTTAAAAATTAGTGCTTATTGGAAATTATTCCATTGTACACAAAAAGCATATATGTATGTCCATTTACCATTTTACAATATGCACTTTTATTACAACCATGGAATGCAAAGTGCAGCTTTTTTTCTCCGGTACCATCGAAACTGCTTCAACAAAATGAGAAAGAAAGAAATCATTGCCAGAAACTATTAGACATTCATAAGATATATATCACATAATATCGTGATTCATACCATCTTAGAAGTAGAGTTCAAAGAAAATTTTCAGTAACTGAAATATGATTTATTGATCATTTGATTGTCGTAACACTAACCGTTCTGTAACAATCAATAACTAATTTCTTAACAGAAGAGCGTTTTAGAATGTGAATATGGCTCTCCTAGTAAAAGTTAAGGGAGTGTCTTGACAGGATGCGCCGTATACGTATACACGATAGAAAATGAATGAAAGCAAGATGAAGATCAGGTTCCAAACTATTTTAATAAACACTTACCATAGAAACAAGATGAAGATCTTAACCTGCAATATAAATATAACTTTTCATATTGAAGCATTCCATTTTTATGCAAGTATCCTGCAGAGATAAGAAAGGAAGCTATTAAGACAGCTAGGATTCAGAGAGAGAAAGAAGGGAAAAAAAGAAAAAAAAGAGGCACCGAGCTTAAGTGATTTAGGAGTCAAAATAAAAGACCGCTTGAAATATACACAATATTGAACCACGGATTGATCTTCTCTTTCTTTGATCATTTAAGAGTACACAAACTTTTTCATGACCGGCATTCTTGATTTCTTAGTTTCTTTTCAAATTTTAAACTAAAAGATATATCAAGAATTATGACTAATACTTGCCCAAATACACTCATTGCACTCACATTGATCTACACTACATGTCAAGCTCAAAATCGTAATTGAAAACTTCGGCAAATTTGGAGTTTTATGGCCATGCATTGCCACCATCGAGCAACAAAACTAAAAATTAAGCTCTAGAATTTCAACACTATTAAAAAGAATCTTCAATGACTAGATAACTCTCTTAGTTTCCCAAGGTAATCTGTTTAAGTTCCACTAATTAGAACTACACATCCTTCTAAGATCTGTTTAAGCTTTATGAAGCATTTCTAATGATAGAAAAAATGTAGCAAATAAGTAACTCCATGCGTCACAAAATCTCTCTCTTGTTTGTGAAACGTCTCAACAAATTCAAGGTACGATAATATTTATAGATGGACTCAATAAGGTTCACACTTCCCTTTTAGTTGTATATATTTTTCAAGGGTAGTTGTATATATTTAGATGCATCAAAGCCGTCCAATGGGTTGCAATAAAGATGTCTTTTTATCTCCTCCAGTGTCCTACCAGCCTAACCATAACAGATAACTGAGATGACTCTAACAACATTTTCTTCTTCAATCCGGCTACAAAAGAGAATCAAATAACTCGAAAAGTGTTGCACATAAAACTAGAGTGCCAAATGTTGCCAAATGTTAATTATGCATATATTCTTCCAGTGGGACCATGTCATAATGGAAATGCCATGCTAGCCCCACTCCTCCTTGAATTTTGAGGTATGTTTTCGTGTGCATGGTACTCCCTTCCATTACCCAACTTCTCCAATCTCACCTTCACTTCCTCTGAAGCTCCTTGAATTTTGAGGTATGTTTTCGTGTGCATAATCCATCCAACAGGATCCTCGCCATCGAATGACAGTAATTTCACCTTCACTGCCATCTTGTACACCCACATTGTCTCCTGTGCAAACGATGATTCTATATAGATAGCTCTAAAAAGTATTTCTTTTATATAGATAGCTCTCCAATTCTTACTTATTTCCCTTAACAATTGTAACTTCTAATTTTCTGTAAAATAGATCTTTCAACCCGTTTTTTAGGTCATTATTTCTCTTCGTAGCACTGATAGGAGGTGTTGAATTGTCAAACCAGAGTTTCTAGAACTCCTAACCAGAGCTGAAAGCTCCTAAACCAGAGAAAACATTCTCCTGCCCAAATTTAACAATATTTCAGAATGCCCTCTTCTCATATAACCAACTCACATGCGGTTGCTGCACACTTCACTAACTAATTGTCTTCCCCAGCCCCACCTTCTCCCACGTGCAATCCATCCAATAGTTGGGCTCGTGCATATTTGTCCCAAAGGTTGCCTCACCATGGACCATATACCCAAGTTTCCTATCACTGCCTCCTCCTGCAACAACAGTCTTGTTCTCAAGGATGACATTAAAGATCTGAGTCTGCATCAAAGTTCCATTTTCCCAAGTTGTGTCATCCACAATTTGACCCTCCCATTTAGCTTGCCATATTCATGTTCGTTGTCCACCTTTTTGAATATCTTTGGAGGTCAGAGCACCTCCTCAAATTCATTCATTTGTTTTGTCCAAGGCACTCAGCAAGGTAAACTCTACTGATGTGGCATCGTCCCTTGAGCCTTACCAAACTCTACCTCCTTTTCCTTCTCCTCCAAGAGACTAGAAAACAAACTAGTTGGGGTTGTGCTTCCTTTTCGAGGGTTGAGTTCTCCTCATTAAGGAGTTTTCTGTGAAGCTCAACTCTTACCTCCTACCCTTGGAAACTTATGGTCATTTCCCCTAATAAAAAGGAACCTTACAAAATTTCTACAACCAAACCACCCCCAAGATCATGTCCAAATCCTCCATCTCAAAGATATAAGCATCCAATGTGTTAGTTAAGTTATCCAACTAAACCTCCAGCTCAGAGCATTTCCCTTCAGTAGAACATGATGTCAATTTTCAAGCCTAACCCTCAAGGAGCCATTCAAATTCTCCATGAGACCCGATGTTGGGGAGATACAAAGTTGTGGTCAGTGCCGCTGTCGATTTAAGACCACGGTATTCACCCAATCAATTGTTCTTCTAGCTTAAGAGTAGTAAGTTACTACTCTTAAGCTAGAAAAACAAATGATGGGGTGAATACTACTAGTAAGAGGAGCTTCTCCTTCATTCACTGTTTCAATCGTCTCCCAATATCACAAAGTGTAGTTGCTTCTCTCTCTATTAATGTGATGTGGGCTACCTCTCACCACATCGGAAACATAACCGACGAGCGCCGTAGTCGATCAATTTGAATTAAAGTAGATGTTTGAGACCTTGATTGGACTCATTATTTCCCTTTCGTTTGTCCTCATCGTTAAGAGGAGTCGCATTCGAACAAAGGTTGGAAGTCGAATGATAGGGTACCCTCCTTTTGTTGGGATGGGCCAGCTAGCTCAATTACATAACTATCACGGTTTGGGCTTAGGGTCATAATTTGACCTATCACCACCCTTCTCACTCAACCCCGAACTAGACCGAATTAACCCATTCCCTTTCCTATATCGAGGTCCCTTTTTCCCACCTCCTCTTAATGCTAACCAACCACAAATTTCACTCTCTAAATAGCATGTCAGCTTCATCGCCTGGATTCTGGTTCAAGGATTTAAGGTCCTCATCCTCAGGTGAATTTCTGGTTTGAGACCTCCCAAAAAGTACCCTAGGTATTGTTCTTGAGGGAGACTCTCAACCTGAGAAGATATGTACTCAAAATCTGAGATATATTCTTCCATCTCTACCGTTTGTTGAAGGTCCTTAGATTCTTCAAATGAACTATCAATTTTCGTTCCTCCCTAATGTTCAATCAAAGATTTTTTTCACTTTCGACCATGTGAGTACATCCTCTGCTTCACATATCAAATGGAACCAGTATATGGAAGGTACTCCCTTTCATACTCCACTTCTCCAATCTCACATTCACTTCCTCTTAAGTTCTTTGAATTTCAAGGTGTTTTTGCGTGCTGTCTTGTACTCCCACATTGTCTATGTGCAAACAATGATTCTAAAGTTATTTCCGGTGTTCAAATTGGTCAACTCCTCCGCCAAGGATTGACAGAACTCCGCGAACGTTTGGCATAGTAAATCCTCCATCGTTGCAATGTGCAACTTCAAAGTATCAACTGTGTCAGAGATTTTCAATGACATAAGCAATTCACAACAATGCTAGCTCCTCTCAATGTATGTGGCAGGTCGGACAAATGGTAGAACCAGTAAAATCAAGGTAGTAAAATTGTACGTTGCTGAATGGAAAAGATGAGCTCAAGAGCCCTACAATGGCGGAAATGATGAAGAAAGGATAATCCATATTTCTAGAACTCCTAACCAGAGTTGGATACACCTAAAAAGAGAAAATATTCTCCTAAACAACTCTAACAATATTTCAGAATACCCTCACTCTACCCAAACCCTCGTGCAATCCTTCCAAAAGTAAGGCTCGTGCAGATTTGCCCCAATGGTTGGCTCACCCTGGGCCATAGGCTCAAATATCATATCATAACTCGATTTGATAATTGATACCAGCTTAAGATGAATAAAACATATAAGATATTATTTCTGAATATGCTCGAATAAAGGCAGTTACAAAAATTATATTAAGTGCATCAGGATTATATAGATCATAAAGTATGATTAAGCTAATTCCATTATACAAGGTATAGTGTATCCATCCAAGTACCATAATGAAGCAAAGGATACAAAAGAATCATTAATACATATAGAAAAGAAACCCTCAAATTAAGAAAAGGGAAATACAAGTTTGAAACTTACATCACAAAAAGTGACCATGAACCTTCAACTTAAATGCATGGTAGCAAGGAAATCCGACAACCTGATAGCATCAACTATTAAGTTAGTGAATTTGGAAAGGTCAAAGAGCGCCAAACATAAGAACCGTGAAAAGGTAAAAATTAACCTGACGTCTTTGGCAATTATTGTGTCACCATCTGCAGCCCCAAGATGTCGCAAAGCTACCTCCTCAAGACGGCCATCTCGATATGCATGCTGCAATCAAATATAACAAAAACTAATTAGGCTCCAGTTGTTTTATAAGCACTAATTTTGAACCGAGTTGAAAGCCTTAGAGTTATCTAAATATCATAGTTAAATGATAGGTATGGGAATAGAAATATACTTGAGTACAAATGTTGACAATCGCGGATTGCAGAAAATAGTGGTTTGTTTAACTTCCACTATACTATAGTGCTATATCACTGCTATATCCACTATTCGACAAACTTCGCACTAAATTGCGCTTCACAAAATGATAAAAGTTTGTTAAAATCCGGTTATGGCTCTACGCTATGCTACTATTTGACAACATTGATGGGTGCGAGAAAAAAGCCGTAGTCTTTAACTTCGGGGACGTAAGAAAATTTTAAGTCATGAAGACACAATTGAAATTTGCTCACAGCAAAGGGAATCTAGAGAACTTAGATCTCTATATGAAAAACGATTTACTATTGTCATAAAGTAAAAAAAATATCTTACAAAAGTTATAAGATAATTATAGTCCTGGCAGGAAAAGTAAAACAGGGAGAAGCTGGAAGAGTGAGAGCTAAAAGTTGAACTAATATTCATATATTTACCTTGTAGAAGCAGCTAGTTCCAAAAGGGCAGTTTCCATCCCCAAACTCAAAATGCTTGCAGTCAATTGACCTACAAATGGTGTTGAACAAATACCAAAAAAGTTAAATTAATTATAAAAAAAAGCTAGACACATTCAAAGATAGTTTGGATTGACTTATTTGAGTTTATTTACGGGCATAAGCAGTTGTGAGACTGTTTGGAAAAGCTTATGAAAACAGCTTATGGCATAATTTGTTTTTGCCTTATTTTCATAGCTCTCTAGGCTAACTTTAAGAAAACAGCTTAGAGCTTATATGGAAATAGTTTGACATTATTATATCTTTTGCTATAGAAATAGTTTATACATGAACACTTATAATAATAAGCACTTCTGCTATAAAAAACTAATTAAGTTGTTTATCCAAGTAGGGGTCTCACTCCGAGTCTGAACTATTATTTTGCTTATTAAGAAATAACATAGGGAAAAGGAAATGGATGTTCAAGCATAAAACTATCAAAGGTTTGGTTTTGATTATGGATCAATTGGATAGAGAAGGCATAAAAAGACATAAAGAGATGGTAGGAGTGATCAAGAAATTACTTGAGCTTTGCCTTGTAGGTATCAACGATTTCCTGTTTTTCTTCACTTGTAGCATACCAAATAACACTTGGAATGACAAAGTAAGATAGCTTGCGGCAGATAGGACAGGCCCGCAGTGTGCTATTCACGTCCATCCCTAATGTCGGGTTACTACTACGCCAATTTCTAATACAGGATATGCAGAAGGGATGATCGCATTCAGATAGCAGACCAAACTTACGTTCAGCTGCTGTAGGCTTTGAAAGAACGCGTTCCAGGCAAACACAGCATTCAACTTCCTGACTTTTTTTCAATGCCTCAAGATGCTTTTGCTTATTTTCGCAACTCTTCATATGTTCTTCTCTTTCTTCAGGCCGGAAAGGATGCAAGCAATGTCTTCCACATGAGGGGCATAAATCTCCATGTGCATGAGGACATTGTTCCCCTCGTGGACAGTTTCCAGCAGCAGCAAATGAACAAATTGGAAGCTCAGAAGGTGAAGTAATTACTGTTTGACCAACATCATCCTCCCTTAGGAAGTCATGGTTCGCAGATTCTTGATTCCAGACGGGTTCATTAGGAAGAACATAAGGACTGTTGAAAAGAGAAAATGCTGCAGCTGTAGCAACATTGTTCGATGTAGTTCTGGTATTACCGAGGAAAACAGATTCTGACACAGCAGACTGGTTTTCGATTATTGAGGAAGATGGAGTAGAGGACTGTGCTCGAGAAACTTTGACATGATCATACCTGCAGCGACTACCATAAGCACAAACTCCTTTCTGATAAAACGTGCATATCTGCAACAACAAGCGCAAACAATCAGAGAAATGTACAATTCAATAACGATAATTTAAATATTTCCAGCATAGAGTAGCTTGTATCACCAACATTATTCGGAGGGGCTTTCCAGTCATGAGAAAATTCACAATGCTCCCCTTTCAGACACGCTCCATGAGCAAAGAACTTACAAAGTACCCTACAAGAATCAATCAACAAAAATTACACAAATTAGAACAATCCACAAGTTTGCATAGGAAACAATCATAAGGCAAATTAACACGCCCGAACAAAACTAGTCCTCCCGAGACTCAAAAATCTAGTTCACCATTTAAAACCTATCAACCATACATCCACAATTGAAATCACAAGGTTTAATTAAAATGAATTCATCGCCAAAAAGAACAATATCCACATTGATTAAAAAGGGTACCAAGCCACAAGCCTCCCGCCAGGTGGAATCGGAGGATATGCGGACATAGCCTCGCCCCGTCCCGCCCCAGTGAAGAGGCTGTTTCCAATATTTAAACCCTTGACCTCAAAGTCAGAAGTCATAGAAAAAGATCTATACCACGAAAACGGCCGTGACAAAAACATCATTCACATTTTTATGATAAAGAACAAATTGTGGTTAATTAACGCGACTACCGCAACCAGTGTTGCACGAAATCGCAAAAACCTTTACGAGACCGTGACCGTTATTTAAAACCTTCAATCATCATATGTTCAAGATTATAACTTGAACCTGATTGAGTTCCTAGTTCAATCAGCTATCGAATAATCTATTAATCCAAATTACAATCAAAACAAGAAAAAGAAAACCCAAATTCCTCATAACAAATCAACAACAACACATGAACATCAAAGAAACAACAACAATCAGAAACCCCCAATATAAAAATCAAGAATCACCTAAAACCAAAGAAACCGCATAATAACAAAAATCAAAAGAAAAACGATGATAATAATCTAAGTCTCACCTCTTTGACATGGAGAATTATTGCAAAAATCAGAAATAATATTAATCAAGAGGCGTGAGGATCAAAACCCTAAACCTCACAAAGCGATTATCAAAACAGAAAAGAAAAAAAAAAGAAAAAGGGTAATAATAAAAAATTGAGGTAGCCAAAAAAACGTGAGGTTTTGCGGCCACCGAAAAAAGATTAAGAAAAGATTGAGAGAGAAAGAAAGGGGGTGTTGTGGTTGTGGGGTGGTGAGGATAGGATTTAAGAATAGAAAAAAATGAGAAAAGATTGGAACTTTGGAATTGAATGGAAAATAAAGAAAAACGTCACTTGTGTGAGAGACAGAACACAACACAAGTTGCACAAAGGTTTTTTCTTTTTCAGCTGTCTTGTGTTGTGTTGTGTGTTCTTAGCCTAACAAAATGAATGCCGTTTCGTCGGTTTTTGTGTCTTAGCACGTGATTTTGCTTTTCATGTCATTGATTGATCACGTGCCCTTCGATTTTAGGTTTTCTCGATTTTTTTTTAACTCAATTATATTAAAATACAAACAGAAAAAAATGACTCGAGAGATGGGAAAATATATATTTGATATTTAAAAATAAGGATATTTTAACTATCAAATTAAAGTAATTATTAATTAAAATAAAATATGTATTGTATTGATAGTGATCCGTGAAATAAAATATTTATTTGATACAATATAAAATATATTTATATATAAATATAAATCTACCATATAAGAAGGTAGTATGTTCTGGAATAGTCAAAATTATCCTTTTTTATTTTTATCCAAATGATATTAAATCACTTGAACCAAATGACTTGATTCTTATGAAAAATCATGACACCGACCAAATTTCAAAATATCATAATTTTATAAGTTTATTCTTTAAATTAAAATTTCAAACATATTCATCACAAACAACAAAATAATATAAAATGTAAATCAAGATAAATTTTGAACAAAATCTAATTGCAACATAAACTAAATAACAAAATAAGTACACTGTCTAATAAATTCAATTTTAAAGAGAGAAATTTGTTCCAAAATAATTTTGAACAAAGTGTACTTATATATATTTTTATTTTTTAAAAATTATCAATATGGTATCGTTTAATTTTCTAAAATCTTCGGTTCACCGATTTCTACCAGTTCATCGTTTAAACACTGTTGAAACAACCGTCTGAACCGTCATCTAATATAAAATCAATGAAGTCGCCACCGAACGTCTTTTATCCTGCTGAAAGGGAAAGGTGAACATCGAGAAAATCTGAAGGGGTGAAATCACGGTCTTTCAATCGAAAGATCGGGTAAGGGAGTATGTTATGTGAGGGGAAGATATTAGTACCTCACACGCCTGTAGTACTCTATGGTATCCACTCGAGTTTGTTCTAATCTAAGGGTCTGTAAAATTTATGTCTAAGGCTCAAAAGCTAAAAGGGAATGCATGTGGAGAAGAAAAAAAAGAGAAAATAATGTAGGGAAAATAAAAAATTGTGCTTGTTTGGGCTCTACCCCAATGCCTACTGTGATATGGTGACAAAATCGACTGTTATACTGGTTTTGCGTTTATATTGGCAAATGTTGCGGTAAGCAAGAGTCGCCACCGACTTTTCTTTTATCCAACAAAGGAAATGGTGAAAAGAACAGAAAAAAGACCTTTTTCGAGATTTTTTGAGTAAGGGGGTAGATTATGGAAAGGGAAGGTGTTAGCACCCTTCCCATCTGTGGTTTTCTACGGGCTCTTAGGTACTTGCTCATTTTTTTGAAAATTGTTTTCGTGTTTGTGTGTTTTGAAAGATCTTGTTAGCTTTATGATAACTCTTGTATAAGTCCTCAAGATTGTGATAAAGCGTTTTTTTGAAAAGAAGTTTTGAAAGTGTGTAAGTGTAAAAAGATTCATATTTTGAGCAAGTACTTAAGAGTCATCTACCTACTCGAAAAAGGGTGTTCTTTTCCTCCTACCCTTTAGATAGTGTTATCCTACTATTAGTGAGTAGGTAGCCCTATCGTCGGATGTTGAGGGACTATCGAAAAGGGACATTATGGTCATCGACAGCAACATGTAAGAATATCTTAGCATTCGAAGGGATTGTCATCATATAGGCAACATCGAGGGACAAGATCATTTCTCGTAGGCAACTCGAGGGACGTTTAGGGACCATGATCTTTTATGATGACTTTTATACTAAGGGTATTTGCTAAGATACCCCTACGTTCGAGGGACATGACCATTATTTTCCGAGGCAACCAAGTGAGGTATACCCTAAGGGTGAGCATGTGCAAGTGTGCTTGATTCTGTTCATTTATCTTGCGCATTTAGAGTTATCTATGTTCAATTAATTATTATCTTCCCATACAATCCTATTAGCATACATCTAAACAGTTTATCATACGAAAAATAAATTGCGGAAAAATAAAGTTCCTAACTATTACAGGGTCATGGGGCAGTTACATAATTATATACAGAAATTTAAACCTAATTTAATTATTACAAACTAGGAACAATTACATAATTGGAAAATAATACGGCAAAAATAATAAATATGTGAAGCGTCTAAATCCTAAAGCGCGCATAAGTTAAAAGAAAAGTATTTTTTATTGTTTTTTTTATTTGAAAAAAAGTTAAATGATGAAAAAGTAATTAATTGGAAAAATTATGAATTAAAAAAAATTAAATATGAATAAAAAAAAATTGGATTTTTTATTAAGAAAAAGATTTGAAATTTAAATCTAGATTCCATATGATTTTATTTTAAAGAAATCAATTAAAATAATTAAGTCAAATTAATTTATTAAAATTAATTTTAATGAAAAAAAAACCTAAATCCTATGTTTTTGTGATTTTATGATTAAATAACAAAAATTGATTTAATTAAAAAAAATGACAAAGAAAAATAATGAAAAGGAAAAAGGAGTGGGCCTGAGGGGGTGAAGACCCAATTGCAGGGTGATGTTGCTGAATGTTTGGCCAAGCCCAAGTCTGGTTGGCCCAATGCTAGCGCCTGATCTTGTGTGGTGTGTAAGGGTAGTCCATCATGTGCCTGTAAGCTGGGGGCGTTAGATCTAGAGCCATGCAGATTAGATGGCTGGATCTGAGAGTGTATGTGGCGCGTTTGAGAGTGAGAACCACTGGATCTGTAAGTAATTAGTCAGAAAATATAAAATGTTGGACCTAGGACTCGAACCCAGGTCCTTCCCTTTGCCAAGCGCCTTCTTTACCATCACACCAGCCTGTTCATTCAGTGTATAATATAAACTTAAAATAATATATATTAAATAAACACCCAGAATTTTATTTAATAAAAAAACGTGCGCTGATTTCAAACGACCTAATCAGGATGTGCCACGCCTTCATCTTCTCCAGCTACCCATCGTCTTAGCCTGAGGACTTTTACCTACGGACTAAACTTGTCACTAAAAACCTGTGCATTTCAAAAATTCACACCAAGCAATATAAATTTAATCCAAATACATGAATTAATTGGATTTAACCCCCTGAGCATGATGGTATCCATTGTTAGGTCCAATTTCACATGTACATGAAAATCCTAAAACGAACCTTGAAACTCTAACAATGGCAAGTTATCATATCTGTACCAAAAGTGGAAACTAATCATTCAAACATGTTCTAAATGCTCATACAAATAAGAATGCATAGTTAAAACCTATTTATAATGCGTGTATGATCAAAATCAATTTCAAGAATATATGTGCAAAATGTGATGTCGTGTGGGATGATTTTGGACGTCTTGATGTGTGTGAATGATGATGTTAGCTTCAGAATGTTCCCGGGAATGGATTGCAAGTGTCAAAACTTCTTGAATCTCTCTGCAAAGGTCAATTCGATTGCCACTTTTTGTGAAAAAATTGAATTGTGTATGTATGTTCTATGCGGCAAAAAACCTCTTTCTTGGTCTGGCAATGTTGTACATATCTATGAGAATGCGTTAGGTTAACAAAATTAGATAGAATCTTGAAGATTTGTGAAAAAAAGATTTGATTTGCAATTTGGATTTTTTTTGTTTCTAAACTTGGCCAAAACATGCTTTTTCTCTTCCAAACATCCCTTGCACGAAATCTTGACTTGATCATCTGATTCTAGACCTATGATATGATCCTAAAACAAATCTTTGGATTTTATTTCATTATTTCACTATTTTATTTGATTTATTTTGATTTAAATGAATAAAAATTCAAATAAATAAAAACAAACCTCATAAAGGTAAAATAATGGATTTAAATATCCTATATAAGTTCATGGATATGCTTGAGATCCAAAACCCATGCCCATTTGTCCAAAAGATCCAATTTGCTCATATTGACTTTTATGCATTTTCCTAAAATTGGTCAACTTTAGTAGTGCATGTCTTTATCAATTTTAACCCTATGAGGGTGTTCTTGGACTTTTTAGAGAGCTTAGGATGTCCTCTAAACAACCCTTTTGGTTTCACCTCAATTGGATCTTTCATGTTCATGTAAGGAGCTTTGACCCAAAAGGTGTTTTTGTTGACTTTTTGAAAGAACCTATAATGTCTGAGCTTGTATCTTTTGATTGAGGTGTTTTTTGAACTTGAGGGATGAAGAGAAGTTGTAGGGAATTAGATTATCTTCAAAATTAGCCTTGGAGGGAAATTTTCTGATAAAGTATGAGAAAGTTATGTCTGGTCAAAGTTTGGTAGACTTTTCCTATAGAAACCATAATTTGCTATTTTTGACTTTTTATGGGTTAGGAGCACTCCTTGAGGAATCATGATCAAACCTTGATCAGATGATGGATAATACTTCAAAATATGGATGTTGACCAAAAATATTGAAGTTTGACTGTATTTGGGCCAGAGTTGACTTTTGACCTAGCACAGTTGATTTATAGGCATTTGAGCAGTTGACTGAGTTAACTTGTTGTTCAAGGCATGAAATTTGGCATGGATGATCTTGAGGACATATTAGGACAATGGAGAAAATTTGGGATCCATTTGGACTCATACATCTTTCTTGAAATTGAAACCTTAGTTTGAAATTCATTGCCTTAGGAGGAGAGAATTTGTCTGGTCCATTCTTGGTCATCCTTGAGCAACTGAGGACCTCTAGAGGCATGTCTTGAGTGACAATGTGAGGGAAAATTTTGGGGTATAACACCTACGTATCCCTTTTGAGGAATCAGAGCAGCCGTAGTTCGGCTCATATATTTTGGTTGGTTTGTGTTTTTTAGTTAAGAAGACAAAAGCAATAAGCAAGATGGCAAAATATCAGACAAGGCGACAAAACATCAGATAACAATGACTAAACATTAGACAAGATAGAAAAACATCAACAACAATGATAAAATATTAGATAATATAGAAAGACATCAGAAACGATGATAAAACATTAGACAAGATAGCAAAGCATCAACAACAATGATAAA